CTTCGCGACGACGCCTGCGTAATTTCCGGCGTGTAGGTAGAACGCCGAGCCTCTTCGACGACGTTCAGACCTAGGTACTGGCTCATGGTGTCTGACACCGTGAGTGTTAAGTCACTCCGCAGCTCCCCTTCGAACTAGGTGACGACGTCGGTAGTGGAGCCAACGTAGAGCAGGTCATCAACGTAGACGACGAGTAGGACGAAGTCCTCCCCCTTATGTAGTCGGTACATCCCTTGATCATGCGGCAGCTGCAAGAAGCCGATCCTGACGAGGCGGTCGTGAAGGTGCTGCTGCCAGAGCCGCGGGGCTTGTTTGATTCCGTAGAGGGATTTTACCAGCTGGCACACTTTTGTGGGATCGTCGCTAAATCCGTGGGGCTGCTCGACGAAGATTTCGGCGTCCACAGGTGCGTACAGGAAGGCGTTAGCGACATCGATCTGGCGAAGTGGTAGCCTTTTCATGGCCGCGACGACGAGCAGAATGCGCAGGAAGGTATGTCGGGAGACTGGGGCGAATGTCTCCATGTAGTCGGTTCCGTATCGCTGGTCGAAGCCTCGTACGACCCAGCGAGCCTTGAAACGGTCGATGGAGCCATCCGCATTAGTCTTAATGTGGTACACCCATTTCCCTGAGAGCACATTCTTCCCGTTGGTTTTTGTTGCAGGTGCCAGCTTCCACGTATTTCGGTCTTGCAGGGCCTTCAGTTCTTTTTCCCTTGCTTCCTTCCATTTCGCTTTGTGTTCCCCCCCAAGAGCCTGCGACAGAGTCGTTGGCTCGCGCGGCGACGGCGGCGGCGGGCTCTGGACGGCGCCCATAGTCCAAGTATCTGCAGGCCCGTGGGTGTGTGTGGAGGGGAATTGTCATTCTCGGGATAAACTGCTTCGTCACCATCTTCCGGATCAGGTAAGAAATTTGGTCCGATGCGTTCAGAGATATTTGTGTCAACCGGTTGAGGTGTCGTGTAACCCTAGTCAGCGAAGTGGTAATAGGTGTCAAGGTTGTTACTATCGAGAGGATTTTTGTCGTCGAGTGGAACGGGCACGGAGCAGTAAGGGAGTGGTCCGGCAGCTTCCGAGGCTTCAGGCACGTTTTCTTCTGCTGCGTCTGCTTTGTCAGCACGGTCGGCGAAGGACCGATGGCCCTCAAAGCCATCGGTGGGGTCTTCTGTGTTGGTGATGTTGTCCAGGTAATGCTGCAGCGTTAGTCGCTCGTAGAAAATCACATCACGTGAGACCACTGTGGTTTTGTCTTGAATGTCGAGAAGTTTCCATGCTTGGAAATGTTTTGCGATGCTGAGGTGTAGTCCCCACTGTGCTCGTTGAGAGAATCATCCTGCTCGGGCTGTGTAGGGTCTGTACTGTACCATGCAGCCGAAGACTCGAAGTAATTTTGTGCTGCCCTGTTTTCCTGTCCACAGCAGATGCGGTGATGCGTTGTTGGGAAGTGATGTCGAAGACAGCAAATTGTGCAGGTGGACTGCATGTGTCATCGCGTCAAGCCAAAGCGTGTTGGGTAGTCTCATCCCCAGGAGCAGCTTCCGCATCGTCGTCTGCAAGGTTCTGTTCATCCTCTCTGCGACCCCCTACTGCTGGTGAGCAGAGGGCAGAGACACCAGGCGTCTGATGCCTCTTTCTGCCAAGTAGTTCCTGAATCGTTGTGACTGGTACTCCAGTGCCCCGTCTGACTCGAAACTCTTGAGTTGGGAGCCCGATTCTCGTTCAGCGATGGGGAGCCACGTCGTGAAGGCTTCGAACGCTTGATCTCGTGTCTTGAGGTTGTAGTGCCAGACGTATCGTGTTGCTGCGTCGATGAACGTGATGACATAGTTGTACTCTGCTTCACTGTCGTCTCGAGGCATATTATAAATATCGCTATAGACTTTTTCCATCGGTGCGTATACAGGTGCGCTTGGATTATGATGTGACGGGAAAGGTTGGTGGGGAAGATCAGCTTCCGGACACGTGAAGCATCGTGCGCGGGGTCATCAAAGTTCCTGGCCGCTTGTTGTAAGAAGGGCGTCCTTTTCTAATACTCTGGCTTGTATGGTTTGTAGTACTGTGCTGTTTGCAGGGTGTCCGGGGCGTTGATGCCAGATGTCGTCGGGAGCGCGATGGCCGGGTGAGCGCTGGTACACGTCAGTGTTGGAGAAGAACGCGACGACCGTGGCCGGACTGCGGCAGACTCCTCGGGTGATGGGCATGAATTGATCTGCTTCGGATGGCGGTCCTCGGATTGCTGGTGATGGCGCACGGCTGGGTCCTGCTGCTGCTACTGCAGGTGATGTCGGGTGAGGGACGCTTGCTGGTACTTGTCGTTCTTGTCAGATGACTGCGAATGCTCGTGTTCTCTCTGCTGTAGGGATGGTGTTGGAGTACCAAAATCCGTCTGGAGTGAAGTCGGGGTCAAGATCTGGCGGATGCGTCCAGGCGGCGAATGACACGATGCCGTCGCTGTCGGCAATTCCGCGGTCGGGGACGAAGTCCAGCACGAAGACGCCCGACTTCAGGAGAGCGCGGCCGATGAAGAGGCCGCCCTTCCCGTGGTAAAGACGAAACTCGTTGGCGTCCGAGTCGCATTCCAGGTGAATTCCCTTCGCCATTAACTGGCTGATGCTTAGTGGATTGTATCCCAAGTTGTCGACGATGAGAACTTTGTTGAGTTGTAGCATGACGTTTGTCTCCATTGACTGAAGTTGAACCACTCCTTGTCTATTTGTTTTCAGGTTCTCGTTGTTGGCGACGGTGATGATGACATCGCGGTTGAGGCGTCGCTCCCGTTGCACGAAGCGCCCGGAAGAACACATGTGTTGGCCGCAGCAATTGTCCAAGAACCAGGTGTTTCGCCCAGTGGGTTCGGCGTTGGCAACTGCAGCATACGTGGGGTTGACTTGAAGACCTTGTGAGTGCAGAGGCGGCAGTTCTTCTTCGTCTGGAGCGTAAGTGGGTGGTGACTCGGGTCTGCAGCTGTCGATCCATACCATGCAGTTGATGATGTTTGGTGTGTCTCGTGCAGGTGTAGGGGAGCGGCTTGGCAGATTCTCTTGAGTGGAGGCGGCTTGCAGATCTGCTGGACGATAAACTCGAGGGCGCGTGCAGTTAACCTTGGAGTGTCCGGATGTCTGACAATTGTGGCAGAACGACGGCACGACGATGAGACCTCTGGTGTCATATCGATTCTGCTTATCGCGTCGGATGTAGTTGTTGTCGTTTCTTCTTTGAGTGTAGAAGACTAATGGCTGCTGCTTGTTCTGTGGTTGTCTTTCTTCAAACAGGTCCATCTCCTGTTGTTCACAATGAAGCTCGGCGCAGAGGTGCATCTCGGAAATTCGTCCGTGGGCGCGAAGAAGGGAACGCGTGGTTCTCCATTCTGGCCCGAGCCCGGCGAGGACAAGTGTCACGAAGCTTTCTTCAGTGATTGTACCTCCGCACCGAAGCAGGCGGTCGCGGAGTGTCTGGCAGCGACTCATATACTGCATTGCCTTTTCCCCGGTCTTCATTTGTATTGTGGTCAACTGCTGCATGAGTTTGCTTTGTGTCACGCTGTCGTTTGCTTGATAGAGACACTTCAGATGATGCCAGGTGAGCTCCGCGGAGTTTCCGTAGCTCCGATACGTTCTGATGCTCTGTTTCTCTTGTGGTGACAGATTTCGCAGGAGATTTGTGTACACCAGCAGCGACTGATAAGTGAAGATTTCCTGCTTCTTTGCAGTGCCATTGCTTGGAAATGTCAGAAACCCGTTGAAGTATCCCAAGAGGTGCGCGGCCTTTATCAGCAGCTCGAACTCAAAACTCCAAGTAAAGAATTCGTGCCCGTTGAACGGTGAAGATGTCTGCAGTTTGATCACATGTGAAAACTGCGCCTGGAGACTCAATATCTCGTTTGGTGTCTGTTGTGATGCAGCTGCTGTCGGTTGAGCACGGGGCGGTATGAACTCGAACGTCCCCGGTGAAGAGTGATAGGGCGCAAAGGTAGGTGCTTGATTGTGCCGCCCGAATGATCAGTTGTCGAGGCTCATTGGTGCTAATCCCGTATTTCCCCCGTTGCTCTGTGTTGAATGCGCAGGTAGCCTTGTCTGCTGTTGCTGGTCAAATTGCGACATGAAGCTGAAAAACCTTTCCATAAGGTTCGGGTCCACGCTTGAAGAGGGTGAAGGGGTCACTATTTTTAGTATCCTTCCTGTTGTTTCTTGAGCAGCGCCGATCTCAGTTTGTAGTCCTGAAGTGTGTAGTCCAGAGTTGCCGGGTTGAGTGTCTTGGGCGCTGGGTGAGCCCGTAGAAGACTTCTTGCCCTTGTTGTCCATGACTTGTAATCGATGAATCTCTTGATGTGCTTGACAGTAGATAGAGCGTTGTTGCTGGGGATTTGGTCTCTGACCAGCTCTCATACCATGTTGGGCTGAGAAAAGCCCTTAGGATCTTTCCAGAGACTAAGTCCCACTTGTACAAAGTGTTTGAGTAGTGCAGCGGAAGTGTTGAGTAGTTGAACCCTTGCACTAGTATGTGAGAGCATGTGATTGATTAAAAGAAGCAAGCATACAGGAATATATAGAAAGTAGGAAATAGAGCAGTTGTAGAATGCAGTTGAAGAAACGGTTATCGAGTCGAACAACGACTCGATCGTTGGTTCGGTTACCACCCTTGCAGTCGCAACGGTCAGTCGCAATCTCTGGTTGCAACCATTCGAGTCCCTTCGTCCTTTCGTGTTCTTTCGTCCAACCTCCTCGTGTAACCTCCGTTGACTCGTGAACACGATACGACTTTTCTTCGAGTGTAGTGTTACACTCCAGAAACGCTGAACTCTTCGAGGTGTTTCCAACAATAGGAAACAGGTTTAGAGAAGTGACAGGGGGGGTCTATAATCGAATACTGCTTACAAGTCCTAATGCACGAGTTAGAGCCCATGGAACTAGTCCTACGGGGGGGCGTTGATTCGAGTGATTACAGTAACATTTTTTTAGGACATTGTCTTCTCAATACTCGGTTTCAACATTCGGGTTTGGGCGTATTTCTGGGAATGTGCAGAAATTCGAAGTGTACATCATATACTGTATGTAGCACACGCCTGTCAACATGAGAATGAATGACTAGAATGATGCTAACAGATTGGTTTTGTCTAAGGGGTTGTCTAAGTCTATGACCCTCTCCTGTTCGACGGGATAATATCCGGAATCTTCTTGGGGTTTCTTACAATGCGCTGCAGCACCTGCATGGAGCGCATCTGCGAGATGCTCTTGCCGGGGTTGAGGTGCTTGGGGCACGTGCGCGCACAGTTCATGATGGTGTGGCACGGCATCAGCCGGTCGTTCTCAGCCAGCTGGTCCAGCCGCTCATTCGTGCTCTCATCACGGCTGCATTGGGGCATTCATGGTGGAGCAGGGAACATTCAGCGGGCGGGGGGGGTGGGGAGACAGGGAGGGGGAAAGGGGAGACAGGGAGGGGGAAAGGGGAGACAGGGAGGGGAAGGGGAGACAGGGAGGGGGAAAGGGTAGGGGGGGAGGAAGAAAAGGGTGGGGGGGGTGGGGGAAATGAGTCTTAGCCATAAGAATTATGGAACTGAGATTGAAAGTTAATGAGCAAGGGCAGATGGTGGTTAGCAGGCAAGCAGCACCCAGCATAAGAGCAACGATACAGCAGCAGCACCCAGCATAAGAGCAACGATACAGCAGCAGCACCCAGCATGAGAGCAACGATACAGCAGCAGCACCCAGCATAAGAGCAACGATACAGCAGCAGCACCCAGCATAAGAGCAACGATACAGCAGCAGCACCCAGCAGAAGAGCGACGATACAGCAGCAGCACCCAGCATCAAGGTGCAAAAAAAGGGCATCCGTATTAAATGGTCCGTTTTTTACGGTGAGTTTTGGTAAAAACTGATGTTTTTTTGTTAGACCTTTTTCCATGAAAAAAAAAAAGTATAAAAAGCACGCGTAAAGAAGTGGCCTGATCGCTAAGGCGGCCTGCATCGTTTTACGGGGTAATCAGCGGCTTTTATACAGGCATGTGATGTCCATGCCCCTAGTCCGTCGCCTTCTAGACTTCACTCTGCTCCTACTCCACCATCCCCCCCGTCCTCCTCCTCCTAAGCGTCATCCATCTTGTCCTCCCCCCCCTATGCGTTATTAGCTCTGCCAAAAACAATGTCCACCGTATTATACGGTGGTACGAAAAAAACGGTCGTATAAAACGGCCGTTTTTTTGCACCAAACACAGAATGCAACTTTCGACCGTTTTAATTGTATTATATGACCATTTTATACGATCCCGTTTTAAACGGCCAAAAAAGGTTAAAAAGGCATTTTTTTGCACCTTGCCCAGCATAAGGGCGAGTAGCCTAAGGTTTCGTGGCCCCAATTCTGGAACTGAGTTCCGTCACCGTTATCCGCCAGTTCCGTTTGCGCATGGAATCCCGAGTTTCGAAACTCGAGTAGACAATCTGTCCGCGGACGGAAAATCTACCTTCGAAACTCGAAGTTCCAATGTTCAGACGATTGAACGACATGCGAAAACCTCCCATGCGAAAATTACGAATACAAGAGATTTGCATCCGATTACAAACAACTCCATTTCTTCCTTCCAAGCCTCGATTGGTTGTTTTGACGCGTGGCGTAATGGCATCGATGCCATGCTTCTCTATTTTTCGCGGGGTTCGCATTCACTTTTTGCTCGGAACTGGAGGGAGAATTTCGAACGGACGTCCGGACGTCCGTTCGAAACCAGCGTCCGGACAGGTGTGGAACCTCGAGTTCCGGAACTCGTGAACCCTTCGCGAGGCCATTGGCGAAAACGTAAGCGAGTAATGCCGAAACGTGCAACCCCTTTTGCCCACAGACGGAACTCAGTTCCGAAACCGTAGGATACATGCCCTAGGAGGGACGATACAGCAGCAGCACGCATACCTGTCGAAGACCCATCTGCTGGCGTTGATGAGTGCCGCAGGCCCCAGGAACTTGTTCTGGTTCCACCAGTACGAGGGGCAGCCTGCCGTGCAGCAGAAGCACAGAATGCACTCGTACCGCCCGTCCAGCCGCTCCCGGTCCTCAATGCTCTGCCGGTTCTCCTTGCCGTCCACAGGAAGACTCTTCACCTTCAGCCACGGCTCGATGGACCTGCACGTGCAATCAGAGGCCCACACAAAGGAGGGAAAGAAAAGGAAGAGCAACATGAAGGAGTGAAGGAAAGCAATCGAACCAAACTGGAATATGCAAGCACGAAACTGCTACTGCTGCACCCAAGGCTCGGCCACGCACTTGTACTGCTGGTACTGCCACGTGAGGTCCACGACGAGGTCCTTGATGACAAACATGTGCGGCAGCGGCGTGATGGTGGTGGTCACGGTGGGGCGCGGGTCGATGGGGCAGAGGCAGGCGAGGGTGTTCTGGCCATCGATGTTCATTGAGCACGACCCACAGATGCCCTCGCGGCAGCTGCGCCGAAACGCCAGTGTCGGGTCCTGCGAGTTCTTGATCGTGAAGAGCGCATCCAGGATCTGATGGCGGAGCGCGGGGGCGCGTAAGGGGGGAGAGGGGGGGGGGTGTTGGCAGACGTGCAAGAGGAGGGAGCAGGGAACAGATTACGACGGTAGAAAGTGCTGACCAGGCAGGCGCCAGCGTGGGGTCTTGCGTGTCCTTGATCGTGAACAGCGCATCCAGTAGACATGGGCAGCATGCCGAGCCTGGCTCGACTCGAACTCGAACCAGGCAAAAGTCGAGCCGAGCCGACTCGGCTCGACCCGAGCCGGCTGCCCCAAAATGGTCGGCTCGACTTTGGCTCGGCTCGGCTCGACTCGCCAAAAGGGTTTCTTCTGCAGGTTTTGAAAAGGTCTTGCTAGATCGCTGTAAAGGTTCTGCAGGTAAAGGTCCCTAAACCCTTAGATCCTTCCTACAACACCAAGAGGTACTCGAAAAAAAAATCTTAAGTAGCGGTGTTGGTGGAAAGAGGGCAAGCTAGGGTGGCAAAGTAGCTCAGAAGTACGCTTAGGCTCTATGGCGAAAACCTAGAATGGATTGTCAACTTCCAGGAGGGTCAACTTTTGACCCCCCACGGGCGAGCCGCGCGCTTCGGGAGTCGAGCCAAAGTTGAGCCGGCTCGACTTCGGCTCGCCCTGAAATTTGCGACGAGTCGAGCCGAGCCGCGCGGCTCGACCGGCTCGACCCGGCTCGACCCGGCTCGACTCGGGTCAAGCCGGCCAAAAAAAAATCCCGGCTCGACTCGCCAAAAAGGCGAGTCGAGTCGAGCCGAGTCGAGCCAGGCTCAGCATGCTGCCCATGTCTAGCGTCCAGGATCTGATGGCGGCGCACGGGGGGAGGGGCAAACAAGGGGGGATGGCATGGCGGCCGTGGGAAGGGTTTCCGCGCCGCCTCAGTAGCCAGCGTGGGTCCTGCGCGCTCTTGATTGCATCCAGGATCTGACGGCGGAGTACAGGGGAGGCTATGTGTGAGAACTCTCAAGAATTACTCCACTGTCGGCAGAGCACAGGGGGGATGGGGCGGACGGGGAGACGGGAGGTGAGGGGGTGGCTGGCAGACATTCAAGTTAAAGGGCTGAACAAGCGTGTGTTCGCATGATAGAGCGCGCTGAACAGCAGACGCATGATAGAGCGCGCTGAACAGCAGAAGCAATCAGAACGCACTCAGCACACTACAGCTATCAGCCGGACCCCACGGTGACCGGTGAAACGTCGGCTTTGGGGACCTGTGTGTTATTGATCGGAAGAGCAAGGGGGGAATAGTGGCCTCGAGGAAGGAGAGGGATGGGAAAACGGGAGCAATAAATGACAGGAATGAGAATTAACAAGCGGTCAACACCCCACAGGTAACGAGCACCCTAGAAGAAGCGCAGCGCACCATGGGGCCGCACTTGGTGGTGTCGACGGTGTACTCTACCATGCGCGCCTTCCCCCCTACGTCCGGGTTCCACCGGTAGATCTGAAACCGCTTCAGGTTCGGCGGCGGTTCGCCACGTCGCGCAGTCGTCGTCGCCGCAGTCGTCGCAGCCGTCGCAGTCGTCGCAGTCGTCGCAGCAGTCACCGTTTCTGCTATCGTCGCCGCGGTGGATGACGAGCCCTGCAGCCCGCCTTGCGCGTTGAGCACGTGGCCCGCGGAGTCCACGTGCGGGATGTCGTCCACGCCTCGCGACTGCGCCGCCTGCTGCGGCGCGCTCTTGACGGGCGAATCCCACGAGTACGGGAAGCTGTGCCGGTGCGCGTTCTCGCGACTCAGCCCGCCGCCGCTGCCGCCGCTGCTGGCGAATGAGCGGTGGAGGAGATGCTGCCAGCGAGTATCGTTACCAAGGAGGGAGGGCGAGGGCCTTAGCAGGGTGCTACCGATCAGCTTGCGACGCAGCTGGGACGCCATGGTTCCTTCCGCGATCCACCTAGTAGCGCTGGAAAATGGAACTAGGCGTAAGCGAGCGGCGATATAATGCGACGAACCAACGCGGCATAGAAGAGGAGTTCCTCGTCGAGCGAGGAAAGCGCGCGCGCTGTGACGTCCCAGGCGCTGCCTGCGCTGCCATGGCGTGCATCGCAAGGCGAGCAGGCTGCGAGGCTGCGGGTGCGAGGCTGCGAGGGTGCGCGGCTATACGGCTGCACGGCAGTGCTACGTTCCGTCGGTGCATGTGGATGGGTTGACGACAGGCAGGTACCATAGCGTGGCGGGAACCATTCTGAGTTGACGTTGTCCTGTGGTGGGATACTCTGAGGACTAGAACTTGAACTCATCGCCACGTGTTGTGCCTGAATGCTAGGTCTGTGTGAGGGTGTGGTGTGGTGTGGCTAACATGCACGGGTTTCTACGCCATGTTGCTGGGTGGTGCAGCAGGTATGCGGGCGATGTACTCCAAATACTACAGTACGTCATATGCGAGAGGCGCAACGACAATAAGCGCAAGTATTCGCGGTAGGGTAAATGTATCAGGGGGTTCACTCAGTAAGCCGTATACTGCTATAACGGGGTTGCCACGCAGTTCTGCCACGAAATTCAAATCGCGGTCCCAAATGTGATCTCCTGACGAGCCGCATGCATTATTGCCTGCCTTGCTGTTGCATGCCTAATTTACGAACCACACGTCGCAGCCAGGCCCCACGATTTCAGATTTTTTTTTCCTGATTACACTGTTTTTCAGAGTCCTTTCTGTCAAACATGTGTATGTGTCATGTTTGTATAGACTGTATAGGGTCACCTCTTAGAGGGTACAACACTTAGGTATATCTGTGTGTACTCTCTCTCTACTATCATTCACTTCTCTAATTCTGATATGGTATCACGCGTAGGTTAGGATCCCCCCCCCCACCTACCGCTTCCGCTCGCCCCCCTAGCTCGGCCCCGCCGTGCCTCCCTCCTAGCCCCGTCGTGCCCCTAGCCCCGTCGCGACCCCCCTAGCCCCGTCGCGCCCTTCCTGGGCCTCGTCGCGCCCCTCCTGGGCCTCGTAGCGCCCCTCCTGGGCCCCGTCGCGCCCTTTCCTGGGCCCCGTAGCGCCCCTCCTGGGCCCCGTCGCGCCCCTCCTAGGCCCCGTCGCGCCCCTCCTGGGCCCCGTAGCGCCCCTCCTGGTCCCCGTCGCGTCCCTCCTAGGCCCCGTAGCGCACCTCCTGGGCCTCGTCGCGCCCCTCCTGGGCTCCGTAGCGCCCCTCCTGGGCCCCGTCGCGCCCCTCCTGGGCCCCGTAGCGCCCCTCCTGGGCCCCGTAATGCCCCTCCTGGGCCCCGTAGCGCCCCTCCTGGGTTCCGTCGCGCCCCTCCTGGGTTCCGTCGCGCCCCTCCTGGGTTCCGTCGCGCCCCTCCTGGGCCCCTCCTGGGCCCTGTAGTGCCCCTCCTGGGCCCTGTACCGTCCTTCCTGGGCCCCGCAACGCCCCTCCTGGGCCCCGTAGCGCCCCTCCTGGGCCGCGTCGAGCCCCCTCCTGGGCCCCGTCACGCCTTCCGGCCCCGTCGCACCCGCCCGGCCCCGTCGCACCAGCCCGGCCCCGTCGCGCCCGCCCGGCCCCGTCGCACCCGCCCGGCCCCGCCCCCTGCCCGGCCCCGTCGCAGCCGCCCGGCCCCGTCGCACCCGTCCGGCCCCGTCGCGCCCGCCCAGCCCCGGTGCGCCCCTCCTTGGCCCCGTCGTGCCCCTCCTGGGCCACCGTCCCGCTCGCCCGGCCCCGTCGCACCGGCCCGGCCCCGTCGCACCGCCCGGCCCCGTCGCACCAGCCCGGCCCCGACGCACCCGCCCGGCCCCGTCGCACCAGCCCGGCCCCGTCGCGCCCGCCCGGCCCCGTCGCACCCGCCCGGCCCCGTTGCACCGGCCCGGCCCCTGCGCTCGTCCCTGCCCCGGCCCCGGTCCTCCTCACTGGTACGGTTTTCCCCCCCCCCGCCCCCCGCCCTGCACTGCCCTGCACCGTACTGCCCCGTACTGCACCGCCCCGCACCACACTGTACTGCCTGGCACCGCACTGCACCACGCTGCACCGCACTGCACCGCACTGTACCGCACTGCACCGCACTCCACCTTGCTGCACTGCCCTGCACCGCACTGCACTGTTCCTGATGGCGGCGGAGCTTCGCTTCTACGCTGAAGGCCAGCCTCTGGAGTTCGAGGCGTGGCTTGCCGACCTCCGCCGCCAACTCACTGGCCAGCGGCAGGATGGTGAACCGCTTTCCGCACACCTTGACGGTACGCTCCCCTGCCCAGACCCCCCTGCTCTTTTGCCCGCTGACTCCACCCCCACTGAGCGCGAGTCTACTGCTGCCACTGCCCGTGCACGCTCTGTCTGGCTTTCTCGCGATGCTGTCGCCCAGCTTGCCATTAGCAACGCCCTTCCCCCGTCCGAGCGCCCTCGCTTTAGGTCCCTCACCACTGCTCAGGCATACTTAGATGCTGTCATCCAGCGCTATTCCACCCCTCCGGCTGCCTCGGTGGGTCGCCTGATCCTCCCGATGCTCTTTCCTGACCTTGCATCTTTCCCTACTGTCTCTGACCTCGCTGCCCACCTACGTTCGATAGATGAGACCTGGCGCGCTGCCTGCACTGACGCACAGCTTAGAGCCCACCAGCCGCCCATTACCTCTACCCTCTACCTGCTTGCCACCCGCCTCCCTGACCGCCTTGCTGTCGCCCGCGACCGCTTCCTTAGCATTCACCCCGCAAACCTCACCCTCACTGACTTTGTAGACACCCTGACTGTGATAGAGACCCGTCACCGCTCCATCGCCCAGGCGAGCGGTGTCGTGCCGGTCCCTATCTTTCAGGGTTGTGCCCCCGCTCAGTGTACCTTCTCCGACGGCTCTGCCGCAGTGGCTGAGACTGCTGCTTCAACGCAGTTTCGTTCGGGGAAGGTTGGGCGCGGCGGAGGCGGAGGCGGGGGTGCGAGAGGGGGTAGTGGTGGGGTCGGGTCGTCTGGTGCTGGAGCGGACGAGGGGACCCTGCCCAGTCCAGCTGAGCTGCCGCCCCTACAGTTGCAGCAGCCGCCGCAGTCGCAGCCTTCGCAGCAGCCGCAGCAGCCGTCGCAGACACGGTAGACGAGTGTCCTCCCGCCCGGGTGGCCCGGCGCTGGCGATGGCCGGGCGCGTGGTGGTGTGCCGAGTGGTGGCTCTGGCGGCGGGCGTTGTCAGTACCAGATCCAGACCGGTCCTCGCCGCGGCTTCGTTTGCGGTAAGATCGGTCACTCCACTCCCCGCTGTTTTCGTCGCCTGGACGACCTCTTTCGTCAGCGCTTCGGCCCGTCGCCAGACCTCCCGGACTGGCACAGTTTGCTTAGTCGTAAGATTCAGATCTTTGATATGGACATGGATGCCATTGTTTCTGCTCTGCATGTGATGTATGCTGATGACTCTAGTGTGCTTCGAGCTTATTACTTATTGTTGCCTAGTGTAGGTGTGCCTAGCGGAGCCTCCCCTGCTGCGTCAGGCGTAGGATCCTCTGCTTTGTGTAGTCTTGGTGCTTCCGCCTTCGTTCCGTCGCCAGCCGCCTCTGCTTTTCTTTCCTTAACCTTGGACTCTGGCGCTTCTCGGTGTTTCTTCCGCGACTCCACCACCCTGACGCCGCTTCCTGTTCCTGCTGCCGTTTCTCTTGCTGACCCCTCCGGCGGTCCGGTAGTCGCCCGCAGTTCCACCACCCTTCCGTGTCCGGCGGTTCCTTCGGGCACTCTCACAGGTCTGCATATCCCCTCGTTCTCCAGGAACCTAGTTGGTGTCGGCTGCCTCCAGGACCTTGGCGTCACCACTACGTTCCCTGGTCACGAGCGGTATGCTGTCTGTACCGAGGCCGCCACTGGTGCCCCCCTGTCCACGTTCCCCCGGGACCCGGTGTCCGGCCTGTTCACTCTGGACACCGTGACCCCCCCGGCTGGAGCGCTCACCCAGGTTGCTGCCGCCTGCTCCTGTCGGTCCCTCACTCACCCGACCCTCTTTTGGCACCACCGCCTAGGTCACCCTGCGCTCCCGCGTCTGCGTCACATGTCCCAGCACGGTCTTGTCCTTGGTCTCCCAGGTTCTCTCCCCGCGTTTCCCTCCTCCCCAGCCCCACCTTGCACGCCTTGTGTCGAGGGTCGGCTTCGCTGTGCCCCTCACTCCTCATTTCCCCCTACCGCCGCGCCGCTGCAGACCCTGCACCTGGACGTCTGGGGCCCCGCCCCCGTCCCTGGGCCGCGTCGAGAGCGCTACTTCCTTGTGCTTGTCGACGACTTCACTCGTTACACCACAGTCTTTCCCCTGGAGCGCAAGGCCGACGTGCCTGGCGCCCTCATCCCCTGGCTTGTCTCTGCGCGTGTCCACCACGGTCTCCTTGTCTTGCGTCTTCACTCAGACCGTGATGGCGAGTTTGCCTCCGGTGTCCTTGGTCGCTTTTGTCGTGCGGAGGGCATCACCCAGACGTTCACCCTACCGAACTCCCCACAGCAGAATGGGGTCGCTGAGCGACGCATCGGTTTGGTCATGCAGGTGGCTCGCACCTCCATGATCCATGCCGGTGCACCCCATTTTCTGTGGCCGTTCGCTCTGCGCTACGCTTCTCACCAGCTTAACTTGTGGCCGCACCCTCAGCAGCCGCAGGTTTCGCCGACCCGTCTTTGGACTGGGTCTCCTGGTGACGCGTCTGCGTTCCACGTCTGGGGCTGCCTTGCTCACGTTCATGCCTCCGGCACGGACAAGCTCACTGCCCGCACCCTTCCCTGCGTCTTCCTCGGTTTTCCCCTTGACGCGTCCGACTGGCACTTTTACCACCCGCCGTCTCACCGCTTCTTTCACTCTCGTGACGTCACCTTTGACGAGTCCGTCCCCTACTACCGTCGCTTCCCCCACCGTGGTCCCCCGGTTACCCCCCCCCTGTTCCTGGTCCCTCCTTCCCCGGTAGTCCCTGCCCCTCCTCCTCCTCCTCCCCGTCCCGCCCCCTCTAGTGTGTCCCACGTCACCCCCCTTCCGTCGGAGGACCCGGTCGAGGGGTCTTCTGACTCTGGTGGCCCTCCTGTGCAGTCCTCGCCGGCCGCCCCTCCCCCGGCGTCCCCTCCCCAGTCCCCTCCTCCACCGCCTCTCCCGCCGCTGCAGCCGTCGTTGTCGCTGCCGCCGCAGCCGCCGCCGCCGCCGCCGCCGTCGCAGCCCCCGTTCGCTGACTCTGGGGGTGCTGGTGTGGAGAGTGCCGGTGGTAGCCGAGGAGCAGCTTGCGGTCCCGGTGTCGCCGTTGTGCCGCCGCAGCAGCAGTCCCCGCCGGTGTCAGCCCTTCGCCTGCT